CAAGAGAAATTAATTAATGAAGCCATCTCAGTATCATTAAGCATAGATTTTTGGACTGCTCGCAGCCTTCAAGGTTATCTTGGCATAACATGTGCCTTTATTAATAATGATTGGAAATTGTATGAATTAGTTCTTTCAATAAAATATGTTTGGCATTCACATATATCAGAACGCATAACTGAAGAAATAGAAGCCATCATGCATGAATAGCAAATCCAAGATAAAACTTTTATTATCACTACGGATAATAGTCATAATATAAAAAAAGCTATATTAGATATAGAAAATGTTGATTGGTTAAATTGTATAGCTCATATATTGAATCTAGTAGTCCAAAAGGGACTAATTTCAGTAAAAGCATTAATTAAAAAAGTCAGATGCTTAATCAGCTTTTTTATGAGGCCTAAACAGAGTGAACATCTTGAAAAAGTCCAAGCCAAATTTCCCAATATTGAAAACATAAATGATTTAAGTGATAATAATAGTGATAATGGTAATAATAGTGATAATGACAATAATGATGATAATGATGATAATGATAATGATGTTATTAATGATAATAATGATAATATTGAGGTAATATATGTATTTATATATTATCATTCCTATAATTTGAAAGGTTCTATCACAAAATCCAAAATCTCAAAACCATAATTCCAGCATGACAATTGATATTTGAAGATTTGTAAACACATTAACAATTATTGTTAGACCTAAATTTCTAATTGTCAAATCGCATGATGTCAGTATTGTGGCCTGTCGATATTTTGGATGTCAAGATTTATGGAAGAGCCAATTTGAAAATGTTTGACTATTGATAGTGAATTAATTTAATTTGACTTCATATATACATATCAATATGAGTTAGAGTATTATGATAGTTGTAAAATATCTCAATTTAAATTATAATATACTACTGCACCTTAGATTTAACCTCTAACCAATCTTCGGATCATTCAACTCATCTTTACACTATATCTACTTAATTTCACAAATGCACCTTAATGTTTTGTATAATAATAATTTTAATATGCATGGTTCTAATTTATTAGAGTATCAAAAATATTTCTGAATACCTACATGCCATCACCGATTGCTCCACATGATGGAATTCATCTTACCTTGCTTGGAATCGGCTCCTTAAATTAAAAGGCTATATTAGTCTTCTTACAAACCTTCTTTTAACAAAATCTGATCCTGATACTAAGAAAGACCTTAAATATTTAAAAAAAGATTTACTTTTCGATGATGAATGGGATATGATAAACGATCTAGTAAAGGTTCTTCAACCATTTTATGAGGCTACGAATTACTTAGGTGGAAGCCATTATTCTACCTATTCCTATTTTAATAGATCTTAAAAACAGGTGTCAGACAGTAGCTTCTAATAATAATATTATTGATTATGATGATGATCAAGACATATTTGACAATGCTACAACTGAGGAGGAAGAGGAACAAACTTATGCTCCAATTAATATAGATATTAGTGAAATTAAAAGTAATCTATATAATGCAATAAATCATTATTGGCCTAATTTAACATTACTAAGGTCACTTTTACTTAGTCTTTTAGATCCTAGATGCAAAAATTCAGCCTTTGTTACATTCAATGAATGGTTTGCTACTGAAAATCTACTTAATGAGGAATATAATAAAATAAAAAGTAGTATAGATAAAGAGAAAAAAAATATAGTTAGGACAAAGGCTAAAACAGTAAAAAAAAATGCTAAAATTAGCATTCTTTCAAAATTTAAAAAACATACACTGATTACAGTTAAAGAAATTTCTGGCTATTTAAAGCTCAAGGAAATTGATTTTGACTGTGATTCTTTTGTGTGGTGGCATGAGCGAAAAACCAAATTTCCAGTTCTAAACAGACTAGCAAAAAAATATTTATCTGTTTTTGCATTTTTAACAACTAGTGAAAGGTTGTTCTCTGATGCAGGGAACTTAATAACTGAAAAAAGAACTCGTATAAGTCCTAAGTTATTTAAATGATTAATGTTCTTAAAGAGAAATGAAAAATACTTAGATAGTATTTATTCATATTAATCATTCTTTATTTTTATATTTCTGTATTTAGAATTATGTATATCTTATATATACGTATTTAGAAGTAATCTTTTTTCTTTATTTTTAGATTTTTATATTTAGAAGCACATCGATATATATAGTGTAGTATTATACAAGATTTTATGCTATAAATTGATTTGATCTACAATATATGTAATACTT